ATATATATATATATATATATATATATATATATATATATTAAAAAAACAGACCACTTTAAGGTACCATTATAATAATATATTTCACCAGGACGCCGGATCATCAGATAGCACTTGAAATGAAACGAAAAATGAAATTAAAATTGATGGGTAGTGTAAGTTTTTGTAATTTAACAGAGAGTGTAAAAGGGGTAGTTAAAGAGACATGATAGAGTATAGGGAGGGATTAATTTCATATCTCTCTCAAGCATGCTTTGTATTGCGAGAGGAGTGACCAGACTTACACTACCCATCAATTTTAATTTCATTTTTCATTTCATTTCTGGAAGTGCTATCTGATGATCCGACGTCCTTCAAAAGGGCTCTGGTGAAATAAATTATTATAATGGTACCTTAAAGTGGTCTGTTTTATATTTATATATATATATATATATATATATATATATATATACAAAGTTACAACTGTAGAATATAGGGCGAAAGCCTTATCCCGATAAGAGGAGCTTTCGGAATTAGTTTCAATATGGAATTGTTCTAGACTGGTTGCAAACCAAAGATTAAGATTCCAATTTGGTGCAAGAAGAGATGGTTTCACGTCTTTTTCAGGTCTGTTTTTGCCAAAGTTTAATAAAAAAAGAAGCAAATAAAAAAAATACAACAGGTCTCCCCCACAAATTTTACATCATTTCAAATGTGAATATCTGACTAAATACATGTCCCAGGCAAAAGAAACTAAAGAAGGTTTTTTGTCGAATAATAGAACAAGATATTCAAAGAGATGTAGATATTATTTCCGTTTACACAAAGCTTCACAAATGTTCAACATACGCACCGCCTGTGACACGACAGACTTCAAGCCGATAGTCCAACTCCTGCCAAGCACGCTGTAGCATGTCTTGCACAACATTCTCCAGCACCTTATTGATTCTCTGCTTAAGTTCCTCTCAGCTTGTAGGAAGATGGAGGGAATATAGACTTGTCTTTCACATGCCCTATAGAAAAAATTCACAAGGTGTCAAGTCAGGTGAATGTGGTGGCCACATTAGCACATCGTCATTATCACTGGCACGCCCGATGCATCTTCCTGGTAGAGTGTCGTTGAGATAACTTCGGTCTGAGCATGAGCTGGAGCACTGTGTTACAGGTGGTGTGCATATTAAACATTAGTGAATCTTTGTGAAGTCGGTGTGATGGATAAATTATCATCTAACTTACGCACTATTAAAAGTGACACTGACATCTCATTTTAACAGATATATTAACCAAAATTACACAAAAATATCTTGAAATACTAAAGAGTAAATTTATTCAATAAAATCGCCATTGGCTTCAAAAGCAGACTCAAGACGATTTCAGAATCTCCTGTAAATCTTCTGGACGGTTTAATTTGGTGAATTCTTCCATAATCCTTGCCTTCACTTCATCTTTGGTGTTACAAGGAGTTTTGTTGATCTCTCGCTCGACTGTACCCCACACATAATAATCAAGGAGGTTTCAGTTTGGGAAGTTAGGGGGTAAGTAGTGATGTGGTCGCAGAAAGATTCTAACAGTTATGACTGAGTCCTCCTGCTAGTGTGGCATGGTGCAGTGTCCTGTTGCAAGACATAGGGTCTTCTAGTAGCCACTCTCATGACCCAGGGCAGCTCTAGCTTCTCAAGACACTTGATTTAGGCCTCCGTGTTGAGTTTGAGACTCCGTGGGGAGATAAATGAAGACATAACGTCGCCATCACTAGTGATCACAGCAAACATCTTCGTAATCACCATTATACTCATCCAACTCTTTCCAATACGAAAGGATTCGAACCTGCCTCCCTCTTTGTGGGAGAAAGCACCATGGTTCTTAGGAATCTCCTATCCTTCTAGGTCTTAATATATATATTTTTGTCGTTTCTCCTAAGCCCTAGAATGTCATGCATTTACAAAGCTGATTCTTCTCCTTCCATGTGCCGTGTTCTTTCAGGATGTTGGCGATCATGACTCTCCACAATTTCCTGTGCTTTGTAGCTCTCAATAAATTTTGTCTTTTTCTTATCTCTCCTAAACCCTGTACCGCCATTCATTTACTGAAGCTGATTATTCCCCTTCTATGTACCGTGTCCCTTCACGACCATGGTTCTCCACCATTTCTTTTTCTTTGTAGGTTTTCATAAATATTGTCATTTTGATAGCTCTCCAAATCCCTGTTCCGGCATCCATTTACACAAACTGATTCTTCTTTTTCTATGTGCCGTGTTCTTTCAGGACGTTGGCGATCATGGCTCTCCACAATTTCCTGGCTTTTGTCGTTCTTAATATATTTTGTCTTTTTCTTATCTCTCTTAAACCCACTACCTCCATCCATTTACTCAAGCTGGCCAGGTAGGTCATCCGTTGCAATCTTCTGTCATATATATATATATATATATATATATATATATATATAGTCATCCACATACAGGCATGTTTCGCTCTATCATAGCTCATCAGTGTGTGACTAGACGTTCGATTGCTTCGATATATATATATATATATATATATATATATATATATATATATATCGAGAGTAACATACAAAATTGTCCAAATCGTGTAACAACATGGGATAATTGTCCATCCCATAAAATGTTTAATATCTAATAAAGCACTAAACTAATTGAGTTTCTTTTTTCCAAGATTTCAGATAAGACATTTAACTATCATCATGCTACGTATCGAAATGATAATCGAAAATCCTTTTCAGTTGTTCAGCTAGAAAAGAACAAGCTAAATTCGTTTTGTGACAGACCAACTGTGTTCCCGAGTGAGCAATAGTGCGAGGATAAATATCACTCAGGCCTTCAGTAACTGTACCAGCATTCATACCCTTGCTTCTATGTTCAAAATCCACGCAGGACCCATCAAGAGAACGGTGAATAAGAATCTGTTGCTTCAAATCTCTTCTTCATCTGTGAGGAGATTGTCCAGCATTCACTGCCATATAGGAGGACTAATATTACATAACAGTTCAGTACACTTTTCTTTGTTTCTCTTGCTTCAAGTCTCTTCTTAATCTGTGAGGAGATTGTCCAGCATTCACTGCCATATAGGAGGACTGATATTACATAACAGTTCAGTACTCTTTTCTTTGTTTCTCTTGCTTCAAGTCTCTTCTTCATCTATGAGAAGATTGTCCAGCATTCACTGCCATATAGGAGGACTGATATTACCTAACTTTTCAGGAAACGTTTCCTTTATTTCCCGTTTCTTAATAATTCCGTTCATTTTCTGGGGTTCCTTGAACAGATATCATTCGACAAGAAGAGATGTTTTTATAGCTGCATCAGTGTTGAATTACGGCTGAAGAAAAATAGTTATTCTGTTCTTGATATTTTGTTTTTTCAAGAGGATTATTGTGATACATAGTGTTTTTGTAAATAATGTGAAAATAAGTAGGAAGCATTATTTTCATAGCATCTGTACAATAAATGCTCTGAAAATAAGTTTTGTTGACCTTTATATTTTGGAATTATATAATTTACCTTTATAGAGACATAAAATTAGCGTATGTATTGCTGGCCCTTATTTATGAAATACATATATATATTTATAAAAATATATTTTTTATTATGACCTTATGCGCACCCCGCTTTAACTTCCGAAAAGATGTAATGATTTGTTTTTAAATTTCCCTAATAAATCATTTTTTAATTCTTCATTACCCATTTTAATAATGTTTCATTTTAATAAACGCGCATATTTTGGTCTTGAGGATATCCCGTCCTGGGCATGACGATAAACTACAACCGGCAGCAAAGTTCCGATCTGGAGATTGGAGGTTTTGGGGACCGTGGAATCACCTCTTAACTGCTGTTATACCTAAGACCCACCCTGACCCGGGGTAGTAGCTCCTGTAAGGGTCCCAGTTATAGGCAAATAGTGAACCCCAAAACAATAATCAGCAGTACATTTTTACAATAAAGTAAGCAACAATACATATTTATTGAAAATTATCAACAAAACATTTTAAAATAAAAGGACCAACAATATATTGCCTGAAGAATTCCAGAGTGTACAACAGTCGAAACGTCGTGGATATTACAATAAATATGAGGACAACAATCCGAACAAGGTAAATAATGTAAATCGTTCCAATATCTCATAGCAGAAATATAGACAGATCCTGAAGAAGTCCGGAGCGTACAACGAGCGAAACGTCGTGAATATGACAATAAAGATGTGAACAAAAATCCGAACAATGAAAATAGTGTAAATAGTTTTAATATCTCATCTCAGGCATGTAGATAGATCCTGAGGATGTCCGGGACGTACAACGGCCAAAACGTCGTGAATATGATAACAAGGATGAGAGCAACAGTCTCAACAATGTAAATAGCGTAAATAGTTAAAATATCTCATTTCAGACATATAGACCGATCCTGAAGAAGGTCAGAGTGTACATCGGCCGAAACGTTGTGAATATGATAAGAAGGATGAAAGCAACAGTCTCTACAATGTAAATAGTGTAAATAGTTAAAATATCTCATTTCAGATATATAGACATATATTTTTATAGCCAGCAATATGACACTAAAAAATGTAATAAAATAATAAAATGTAAAAAGAATATATTTTTATATTAAAATTACCACCATTGTATGTCTGTAGCGAAATTACGAGCAATACATTAACAAATGTCAACAATACTTTTATAATTTTTTATCACTTTAAACGTTATTATAAATGGATACTCGTATTACTGTAGACGTTCCGTTTATTTATAAAACAGTACATTTATTTCTTTTCGTCTACCCACTTGAATGTTCGAGAAATCGGATAAAGTCAACCAACCAACCCTTATGCTTTTTTAGAGATTAGCAGTTTATTTTACGCCGCTTAAGTGAATGATTACCAAACATGAAAACCTGTTGAATGTTTTCTATTTACATTGTTTACATATTTGTTTTTAATCATTCTTATTTCTTCTGTATTCCCAAACAGATTCTAGAATCTGGAGCCATTGAATGAGGAATTCACGCATCCACAATGAGCAGTTTCTTTTGTTGCTTTGGAAAGCCTTCTGAAGAGGAAAGCTGTGAAGATTCGAAGCCAAAGGAAGCGATACCTCCGTCCGTTCAGTCATCCTCTCCAAACACAAGAACCGGATGTTGCTGTTACCGTTGTCTCATGACTCGCTGCCAAAATCGTGGACAGGGAAGAAGTCGGTATATGTTTTTAAAGAAAGCGCCGAAGGTTCGCGATGCCGCTGTTGACACGGAAATCGACTTCGGAATCGTCCTCCACGATTTCTTCAAAGCAGACCATAACGATTGTTTTGGCGAAACGGAAAACATTGACGAGCCCGAGATGAGAGATCACAGATATGCCAGTCTTCAGTTCGATTCGAAACCAGGCAAATTGAAATACGTCGAGGGAAGCCAAGTGTTTTATGTCGAGGTTCGAGACAAAAAAATGGTCCAGTTTAGGAAGAATTCCTTTGATAAGAGTATTTCGGAGGAGGAGGAACTTGGAATGGATTCCGATTTGTCCGCAGATATTCTCTGCGATAATAGATCAGAATCCCAACGTCGCCTTCTCTACGAACTAGAGACGAAATCCCGCAAAAGGTTTGCTGATAATTCTAACCATGGAATTGTTTATGTGTCAAATAAATGCAGTCCTGCGAATTCGATAGATAGCTTAACAGATAAGAGGATAAATCGTCCTTCTCTGGGCAATATTGAAGAAGGCCAAGAGCAATATGGAGAGTATAATTTGTCCCCTGTCAAGCTTCCAAATATGACTTCTAAAGACCCTTATAACATTGATGGGGGTCATTTTGCTCGGTGTGCTGTGACCCCGGACGAGGTTGACATTGAATATGTTGATTCTAACAAGAGGTCAGAATGTTCATCCGCTTCCGTCAGTGTGCAATCTTGTAGTCAGATCGCTCAAGACGAACCGGAAGAAGAAAACAGACAAGAGAACTGTGAAGAGTCGGAATTTGCCGATATCAGCAGCCAGTCTATACCGGAAGCACAACAACCGTCAGACCAGGGGCTGTATACGCCCACGCTGACCGCATCCAGTGAGAGCACCGATGAAAGATCAATACCTCACGAGTATTTTCAGAAATCGCTATTTACACTCGATTGGCCTCTGCCGAAGAAATTGACTGAGGATTCATCGACGTTGCTGATTACGGATCACCCGTGTTCCCTGACGTCAATCGAAAAGAAAGAAAAACCGGCCCAAGAATCCTCTTCTTGTCCAGAGATGTCCATTAGATCGGAGACTATTTATTCGTCATCTCTCTCTACAATTACCAGCAGAGATAACAGTATAACTGCCGAAACGACAAATATTGAAGCTGGCCGTTCAACAAGTGCCGAAACTCAAACGGATCTGTTTGACGATGATAATTTGAGTGATAACACTGCCACCGTGGAGATGCCAAAACATTCTGTTAATTCTGTCTATACAGAAACGGAATGCGATAGCCGAGACGACGACACACTGGAGGAATCCTCCAAAAAAGACACGGATCAAGTTAGCAGTAGCAAAATCAACAGTGGCACAGACAGTAATAACTCTGAAAACGATCAAAGTACGAGTTATCTTGAGAATCTAAGTAGCACTGACAGTGATTGTGAGTTGAGCTTGGGCGGAAGTGATAGTTCCTCAAACAGTAACGCGCCTCAGAAAAAGAAATCACTTTCTAATAGCTCGGACACTTCTAGTTCGACGAGCAGTTCAAGCAGTAAATCCGTGCGCAAGTTAAATCAAACAGCTCACAGAGACAAGGAACTGGACAAAGCTAGACATAAAAAAAACAGTTCTTCAAGTAGCTTAGAGGCTAGCAGTAGCAACTCGAGCAGCAGTTGCACACTTAGTAGCTCTTCGAGTATTTGTAGCAGTTCAGGCTTAAGCAATCGGAGTGACAGTCCAAAAGAAGGCTCCAATGAGGAACTTCGAAACGGTAATGGCTGAGCGGAATGTGGGAAAAGAGGAAGAATAGATATGAGAAATTGTTTTGCAACTTGTTGACATAAATTTAAACTGAAAATATTGCGACATTATCAAACAAATATCCATTTGTTTTTCATAGTAAAGATTCGCTCCGAATTAAGCAAAGGTTCCTTGGCAAAAACTTCCTTGTTTAAAAACATAATTTATATATACAAATATCAAATGTTTATCTATTAAAATACAAACTAAATCGTACAATTTTGTTCTTTCTTTCATCCCGATAAACTTCAGTTTAACGCGGGAAATGTGTTAAAGATTTATTGTTTAAGCATACAAATATACACACAATTATATACACACACATAATACTTTCTTCAGTTTCCTGATGTGATGGAGCCTACAAGGGTGAAACGCGTAATTCTCGTTTCAGGGAAACAGGTTTTAATCTCCATATTCTTCAAACATTATCCTATTTTATACATTATATGAATTTTATATATATATATATATATATATATATATATATATATATATATATGAATCATTCATACAAAAAACAAATATAGAAGTTAATGATTTAAATGGCGAGAATACATCTTCGCAAACAATTTCAATAAATTACACTAACCTGTATATGGATGATATGATCCCTGTTTATAAACATGTATATTTTCGTTGTTCTCTTATTACCGAGAAGTAATAAACAAGAACAAATCTATTTCCATACCTGAGGATGTCTGTAGGAACAGACGAAAGCTTGTAAAAACTAAAAAAGAACTTATGCAACAGGAACTGTCATGTCAATTTTGAAATTTGCTCATCAATCAAGTTTTGCATTAAATATATATCAAAGTTGTTAGATCAAACCGTTTTTTCACAAACTCCTACCTATTTTTTCTCTTTAATTAAAATTAAATTTAAATTTGAACAAGGGAATGACTCCAAAATATAGAAGGAGAAAGCCAGAAGATGGAGGTCATGTCGGCAAGATCAAAATGTGACAATATAGACGTCAAGTTGAGCACGAAATTACCAATCAGTGGATAGTGCCTTCAGTAGATGTTTGTTGAGAAAATTCAACAGACCTATCAATGTTGAAAGCTGCTTGTCAATTGATTCAATCAAGTATTGCATCAAATGCATATCAAAGGGGTCGGATCAAGATGTTTCTGCGCAACCAACCCAGTGAAAAAATGTTCCCTTTGAATTAAATTAAATTTAAATTTGAACAAGGGAATGACTCTTATCCAAAATATAGAAGGAGAAATCCAGAAGATGGAGGTCACATCGGCAAGATCATTGAGTAATATTGAAATGCATCGTTTTTCTTCACAAATTATAACAACGATTTACGACCAATTATCATTTTTTCAGAAAGACGCGGGTAATTCGGCTAGTATATATATTCATATTATTATTATTAGGATCTACGGAAAATTCTTAGTATTATTAAGATACACACAGTTTTAGAATAAACCATTTAATTCTTTATTTACATTATTCGGACTATAGTCTTCAACTTTGTCGCCATATTTATTACAACGTTTCGGACGCTGTACGCGCCAGACTTCTTCAGGTGGTTGTAATGTCGAATTTAACCCTTAACTTATCCACTGTGCTATGTGTCCTCAAGGATACATGGCGCAGTGAATAAAGGCGTTGGTTAGATCCAGTGACAGGACCCAAAGAATGTGAGTTCAATACCCGGTTAAGGCAGTAGAAAACTTTCAGAGGCTAATTAACAGGAGAAAACTGTTAACTGACATCTATTAAACAGATTAAAATAGATGTCAGTTAAAAAAAAGTCTACCCCAGTGAGCGAAATAAAGGGTTCAGTTTGACATTCCAACCACCTGGAGCGTACAACGGCTGAAATGTTGTAATAAATATGGCGACAAAGATGATGACAATAGTCCGAATAATGTAAATAATGTACATAATAGCTCATCTCAGAAATATAGACAGATACAATTTAATTCTGTCCTAACTTTACGGTGTGGTAATAGATAGCGGCCCGGATGGAAGAATTGGAGAGCCGAGTTTGAATTCCAGTCAAATCCATTATCTTACGTGCTAATACCCTTGGGAAAGTTATGAATCCTCTTCTTCTCCCTATGGGTAAATATGAGTTTGCTTCTTCATCTATGGGTAAATAGCAGGACAGAACGGGTTCTATAGTCTTGGATGGCAGCTAGTCTACTCAAGAAATTAGAAATTAAAGAAATGGCAAACTACTGCAAGAAAAAAAATCTGCCTCGTTGTTATGAATCGACAGATACATGATCGCCTAAGCGTGTATCACACATAACTGACTGAATATATTATATTAGTCGCACAAAAGTATGTTACTCATTCCGAATGATTAAAGTGTCCTCTTTGTTAGTTTTATATCAATCTCTTTCAGAATTTAGTTGTCAAATACGTGGGCCCCTTGCTTATGCAGTGGAAAATAGTATCAGATTGTTCGGAAAAAAGTTCCGATTTTATAATAAACATTTTTCATAATTCTGTCCTAAAATACGTCACACAATAGGTTTCAATCCTGCCTTAATAGTAAATCCGTCATCGTTGACCAAACTAACCTGGCCTCGAGAAGGACCTCCAATCTCTGGTTGACTGGGGCAGGAAATGCCTTGTAAACTTTAATGCCTCTAAAACGAAACTTCTCTCAGTTACCCACCAAAGAGAAACCTCCCTGCGTCCCATCAGGATGGCCGATGCCCAACTCCTCGAGAGATCCTCTCTTCGCCTGTCAGTACGAGTAATATATTTTTGTATAAGTATTAAATTGTTTATTTTTAGAATAAAATTTTGGCATTATGTTCTTATATTTCAGAACAGCCTAGTAATATTTCCAGTTATACACTGGAAATATTATTAGGCTGTTCTGAAATGTCCGATATATAAGAACATAATTTTTGCAGATTAAAGTTAGCTGGTATGCATGGAGCCAGAATGTAGTTCCACAAGCGAGAAGTGCGAGAAAAAAAGAAGCTGTAAGCATAGAATTTACGGTTACATCTAGCAAGCACAGCTGTCAATTCATGAGATGTAGAAGCCAGTTTAGTACTGCGCTTAAATTTAAAAAGTATAGATACAATTGCCATGAAAGTATTTATAGGATGGCAAATGTACGGTGCTGTGAAAGTGACTGAAGTTACATTTGTTTTATAATCACATGTCGGGTCATAAACAATGACTTAGAACAAACAAAGGACCGGTTTTTTTTCTCACCAATTAAACAAAGCCACAGCATCGAGTTCACCTCCAAGCAAGGCAGTAAAGCCCCTAAGACGCAAGGGGTTACAGGGAGTGGAAGAAACTGAAACATTAATAATGAGCGGGAATAAAGATGGGGACAGTACATAGTAATTGACATTGTATTGAGTTTGGAGTCTGAAAGAAGAATGGCAAGCGAGAGTCGTGAGAAAAGAAACTGTTAATATAGAATTTACGGTTGCATCGAGTCAGCTCAACTGTAAATTGCCGAGACTTCGTCGCTAGTCTAGTGTTGTGCTTAAATTCATGAAGTCAAGATAGAATTACCATGAAAGTATTTATAGAAAAGGCCGAGGGAGGCAACTTTACTGTGGTGTGAAAGTGACTGAAGCTACATTTGTTTCCAATCACACGTCGGATCATAACCAATGACAAAGGACGGGCTTATTGTTTTTTTTTTTTTTTTCTCCTCAATTTAAACAAAGGCTTGCGGCCACATCACGTTGAAACAGCTGTTCCTGTACAATCACCAAAGTTCAGCAATGTCGGACCTGGCCAGTAACTATATGGGTGACCGCTTGGGAATACAAGGTGTTGTAAGATCGAATGTTCCAGTAGTATAATAGATAATGGCTCGGAATTAATAATCGATGAGTCGAGTTATAATTCCCTCTGTGTATATTATATTGACTTAGGCGCAGATATCCTTGGGAAATGTATTAATCCACTTCTACCCTCCAGCTATGGGTTAATTAGTAATAAATGTATCACCGAAACCATTATTATCTAAAAGAAAAAAACACGTAGAAAATATTTAGATTTTAGTTTTAAATAAAACATAGGCTGCTATACCGTTAAATTAGTTACATTTCATCATCGTCGATCGGACGCGAAACTGCCTCCATTCACGATGAATAGATGTCCTGTACGTTGAGCGTCTATTAGGAAAGTGACGGAAGCCGAGAACCCAGATCAGTACTAATAATATCACTGATGTATCATTAGATTTGATCAAGAATCTATAAATATATGACAGGCTCACAGGATTGACATTACACTTAAATTTTGAAGTTGGCTAGAAAACATGTAGCCAGATAAGAGTTACTTTCATGGTAATTGTTCAGATGAGCTCTTCGCTATTGTAGCTTTAATCTAATTTAAGCGCGGTACTAGACTGGCGTCGAGACCTCATCAATTTACCGTTGAGCTGGCTAGATGTAGCCGTAAGTTCTATGCTAATAGTTTCTTCTCTCACATTCTCTCACTTCCGGCTCCATGCTTTTCAGCCAACTTTAATCTGGAAAAATTTAAACGCAATGTCTATCACTATCTACTGTCCTCCTGATTACTTTTTTTTCTCCTTTTCACGCTCCTAATGAATGTATCTATTCCTAATTCTTCCACACCCTGTAAGCCCTTATGTCTTAGTGGCTTTATTGCCTTGCATGGGGTGATTCAGATTAAAAAAGGTTATTGGATTTATCAGCAAAAATGCAATCTGAAGTTACGCATAATAAAAAAATCACTGTTTACATCAATTACACTTTTACTATTTTATGGATAAGACTCGTAGTTTCAAATGACGCAGTTTCACAGGAGATAAAATAATGGAGTCTTCGGAAGTTGGTCGTGTTCAGTCTAGTCCTCCCACTCCGACCTTATCGTCCATGGGTGGCCCTACAATAGTTGGAACTGCAGACATTCTAGCGAAAATATCTCCACTAGTTCGCGATATCTAACGTTTAAAATGCTTCTTTTTTTAAATAAAAAAATTCTTGAAGCTTTCGTTTT